GCCAATGAACTCTATATCTTGAACCGGGTGCAGAATTGATTTGTCTTGGTTGATTAGAAGGCCTACATGACTGAGGAGGGCCGTGGTCGTATGTATCAGAGGCGGTTTCGGCGTGTGAGGATCCCTTTAGAAGGCAGTCGTCTAGATAGGGAAATATGATGACGGTCTGCCATCTGAGATACGCAGTTACGACCGCCAGTACCTTTGAAAATACCCTCGGAGCTGATGAGAGACCGAAGAGAAGAACCTTGAACTGGAAATGGTCCAGTCCCAATGTGAAGCGTAGGTAGCGTCTGTGGGCGGGGTGGATGGTTACATGGAAATAAGCATCTTGGAGGTCGAGAGCTGCGAACCAGTCCCCTTGATCTAGCGCAGGAATGATAGTTGTGAGTGTGACCATCTTGAAACATTGTCTCTTGAGACACTTCGAACCAGTCCCCTCGATCTAGCGCAGGAATGATTGTGGAAAGAGTAACCATCTTGAAACGTTGTCTCTTGAGAAATTTGTTCAGTTTGCGGAGATCCAATATAGGTCTCCAACCCCCTGTTCTTTTCTCGGTCAGGAAATAGTTCGAGTAAAACCCTCTCCCGTGGAACTCTCGGGGTACCCTTTCTATAGCCCCAATGACAAGGAGCCGATTGACTTCTTGTTTTAGAAGGGTTTCGTGAGAGTGGTCCCTGAAAAGGGATGGGGTAGGGGGAAGAGTAGGGGGATAGAAATAAAAGGGATGGTATAGCCCACTCGAATTATCTCTAGGACCCAGTGGTCCGATGTTATGGATTCCCACTGTGGGAGGAAGGCATGCAAACAGTGGTTGAATAGATGGCCATGTTGAGGTGCGAGATCGAACGGGATGTCTTGCAGACCCTCGACCAAATGTTCAAATTTGCTGCTTAGATGGTTGGTTAGCTAGCGGGTGGGCTTGGTTGGGTCGCCTTCTGGGATCTCGCTGTCTTGGTCTGTTGTCTTCATAAGGCCTCTGTGGTCGATTGTATTGTCCATACTGATATCGATTATATGAATTATATGGGGTGTATCGCCTGTGTTTATAGGGCGGCGTGCACATACCTAGCGTGCGATGCGTGGACTTAGAATTTTTGCTGTTGTGGAGCATTTCGTCCGTAGTGGCTGCAAATAGCTTTTGTTTGTCAAATGGCAAGTCCTCCACTTTGGGCTGGAGTTCGCAGGGAACGCCAGACAACTGGAGCCAAGAAGCTCTACGCATCACCACCGCTGTAGCTGTAACTCGGGCTGCAGTGTCAGCTACATCCATTGCCATTTGGAGAGCGGTGCGGGCGATCATATGGCCCTCATGAACTATTGATTTTAAGATGGGTCTTTTGGAGTCGGGGAGATGCGCCATTAGTTCTCCCAGTTTTGAGTAGTTGTCAAAGTTGTGATTTGCTAAGAGAGCAGAGTAATTTGATATTCTGAGTTGTAGGGTTGAAGAGGAGTATACTTTCTTGGGCGATCATATGGCCCTCATGAACTATTGATTTTAAGATGGGTCTTTTGGAGTCGGGGAGATGCGCCATTAGTTCTCCCAGTTTTGAGTAGTTGTCAAAGTTGTGATTTGCTAAGAGAGCAGAGTAATTTGATATTCTGAGTTGCAGGGTTGAAGAGGAGTATACTTTCTTGCCAAAGGAGTCCAACTTTTTGTGGTCCTTGTCTGCATTGCCCATCTGCATTGCCCACTGTGGAAGCTTCGCTCGTTGTTGTGTTGAGTCCACGACTAGTGAGTTAGGTTGTGCGTGAGTGAAGAGAAAGTCGTTGTCTTTTGAGGGGACAAAGTACTTTGTCAATTTTCCTGTTTGTTGGTTGGATGGATGCAGGCGTCTTCCACAGATCTTCTGAGGTCTCCATGATTGCCTCGTCTATGGGTAGGGAAATCTTGCCCTGTAGTGTCGGATGCAGATTCTTTAACAATTGGTATTGTTTCTTCTGCACCTCTCGCAGGGAGACATTCTGGCTTGTCGCTACTCTCTTGAATAGTTCTTGGAACTGTTTTAGAAAGTCAATCGTTCCAATGTCTCACTCGCTGGGAGCAGCACTCTTCTACCTCCGAGAACCAGAGAGAAGCCATGCGTGAAGAGATTTGTTTCACCTCGTCCTCCAAAAAACTTGCTGGAGGTAGGGGTTGTGGCCGAGGCAAACTTCTCCAGGATACAGTGGAATGAGATGGGGAGCGGTGTCCATATGGATCCCAGTGTTCCCACAGTCCCCATTGCGGTGGATAAGGTGGAGGTGGGTAAGGCCAGTATGGGTGCCATGGGCCATGTTGTGGCGGAGCCCTATAATGGTGGGAGCGAGCCTTCCCAGGTGACGGATGTCGCGAGGAATAGACCATGTGGCGGTCATCATCAGGAAGGGGAGCGTCATGAAGAGACAATGGCGATATCGATCTGGGAGGGGATTGCCTTGATGGAGACCCCTCAGGAGAGTAAGAAGTAGAGGGCAGGTACAGATAATGATGTTCGGTCTCTTGTTGGGGCTGATCCCTAGGAGTCTTATCTGGCTGCTTGTCTGACTGTGGGAGGACCAGTGGAGCATTTGCTGTTGCCAGAGGGTTGGTAGGCTGCCCATCGTTTTGCTGCGGTGCCGTGGCTTTAAGAGGCACTGCAGCTTTAAGCCGTGATGTAGGTTTCGGCGCTGCGGAGGCTTGGAGCAGCGCCGGGGCTGGAAGCGGTGCCGGGCTGTGAAGCGGCACCGCGGTTTGAAGCGGCACCGGCTTTTCATGCCGTGCCGGCTGCTTAGAACGCTCCCAGGGTGCCGCAGAGGCTTGAAGCGGTGCTGGGGCTGGAAGCAGTGCCGGGCTTGCAAGCGGCACCGCAGTTTGAAGCGGCGCTGGCTTTACATGCTGTGCCGGCTGCTTAGAGCGCTCCCGGGGCCGCTCAGCTGTTGAGCGCCCCGATGCCGGCGTGGAGTAGGAGGATCGCCCCAAAGCCTTAGTGGCAGGGGACTTCCTAGTCTGGTGTGCCTCTCCTCTGTGTTTGGGAGAGGAAGAGTCTGGAAGAGAGCGGGATGGAGAGGCTCTCAGTCTCGGGGCATTTTTGGAAGGCGGCGGAGGCTCTTGCCGCGGTGCAGATTGTTCTCCCGCAGGCTGTAGAGCTTTTTCAAATAAAATCATCCTGAGGCGGAGCTCACGATCTTTCCTGGCTCTCGCCGTCAGGGAATTGCAGTGGGTACAGTTGTGGGGAGAGTGGGTCTCCCCCAAACACCGTATGCAGTCCGAATGGCCATCTGAAGCTGACATTGGGTCCCGGCATTGACCGCACTTTTTAAACCCTGAGGAGCCGGACATTGCAGGCTCTCTCCCTCTTGAAATTATTATATTTATCTTCTATATTGTTATAGTTTATGTGGTTTTGCTTCTTCTGGTTTTTTTTTTTTTTTTTAGTCTTTATGTGTTTCTTGTTTTGACAGGCTATACAAAGCTCCGATCTGCAGCTCAGGGCAACCCTTCACCTACAGTGGAGCACCCATGGGGACACTACTCGAAGAAGAACTTTTCATTATCATTTATATGTATAATATGGTAGTGTCCAGAAGGCACACAGTAGACAGGACTCTTGCCTCAAAAACTTTACAATACATTTATTTCAGGATCAGAGGTAAAATATTAATACTTTCAGGT